GGCATCACCATTCAGTTTGGTTGTGACTCTACCTTCTAGCTCCTCGTCACATATCGTCACCCTTCTTGACAGAACCTTAGCATACATTTGAGTCGGTATCTCTTCACAAGCTGTGGCTCAAGCAGAGCACCCTAAACCCTAAACCCCCCTAAACCATATCTGCTGTGGCATTGCAAAAAAAAAGCTCATCCAGCAAGAGGCTCAAGCTTGGTATTCGTCAAAATCATCCCAAGGTTATCCCCCTCAGATATCACTGCACTGCAGCTCCCGGCATGGGAACCCTGTTTTGTTGTTCCCTCCCCTGAAATTGTGAATGTTCCGTCCATTATACAACACCACTTCTTGCATTGGGGGGGGGGGTTGGTATACGTCAATTTCTTCCCCCTAACGTTAATATTACAACACCACAAATGATAAACACTAAATTCAGTGGCCTAAAAGTCCAGAAGACTATATTCAAAAGGTGAAGAATACTTTTAAAAGGAGCCACCTAAACATGAATTAGGGGGGGTTTTGAGGTCGAATAGGGGGCATAAGAAGAAATACAAAGGAATTAGCGATCCCCTTCATTTACTAGGTTTTGACTGTTTTCCATACGGTTGCAATGAAAGACTTTTTCTTGATCTGAATGCGATTTCAATTGGTTTTAGTACCATTGTAGCCGTATCTAATTAGAATCTCTACTGAGTTTCATTCGATTTCAAAGTGTTTTAATTGAAACTTAACTAGATTTCAATTGATTTCAAATGGAATTTGGTTGTAACTCGAATTTAGTTCGATTTCAATTGATTTGCGATGGAACTTTAACGACATTTCAATTGATTTCAAATGGATTGTAATTGGATCTCAACTGATTGTAACAGAATTCTAATATGATTTTAGTTAATTGTAACGAGAACTTGAATTGGATTTCAATTGATTTTAAAAGGAGCGATTTCAAATGGTTTTAAATGGAATTCTGATTAAATTGCAGTTGGTGCTGAATGATTTTAATTCGATCTCAACTGATTCAAAACGGGTTTAGATTAGATTTCAATTGATTTCAAAGGGAATTTAATTTGATTTCAATTGGTTGTTGAAAGAGTTAATTAAATTGCAACTGATTTTACATGGATTTTAATTCGATTTCATTCAATTTAAGCGGAAAGTTAAATCTAATTTCAAAGGGATGTTAATTGGTTTTAGAAGAATCTTAAGTCGATCTCAATTGATTTTAAATGGATTTTCATTCGATTCCAATAAGTATTTACTGACTTTTTCAATTTGATTATTTCTTTTTAATTGATTATTCAATTTCCATGGAATTTAAGCGGATTTTAAAGCCAGCCCTATCTAATTCCTTATCCACTCCTGATATTAAACAATATTTCAGGGCCCGGATTATTCAATATTGGGTGAGGGGACGTCGTTTAATATTAGAGGGAAGCAATTACTAGCGGGCAGGGGATTTGTCATTAGGAGGAGACATGGGTTCATGACTAGGAAATGCTCAAAGATAGAGCCTCTAAGCTACAGTCAGTTTCTGCAGCAACAAAAAGAACATGTGAAATTGCAGATCATATGAGCATCGTCCCTGGCGGCTACACACAGTAAGATTACGCTCTTTGTAGAAGATACCACATCGACATAAAAGATGCAAGCCGACTCTACACCGAGGATTTCATATTATCTCCAAATGAAATACTACTCATGCAGACCTGTTCTGAGGAAACACATGCCCGCCAGTAGGACTTTCTACAAGAAGCCTGAGCACCTAACCCTAATCATGTGAAGCCTTTACCTGGACCCTAGGACTTCCGCGAATGGCCAGAGAAGTCTGTCCCCAAATGAAAAGTCAATAAATACAAAAGGGGCTTCTAAGGGCATGATGTTCATATTCATCAGTATAATCAACTACAATTTCGCAAGGCCTACACATTTGACAGAAACAACTATTCTAGCTCCTTGCGTAGCTCTCGTCTGTTGGGCTCCCACATCGCTTCTGAAGCTCAGTCGCTGCTGTGTAGCCTTAATAGATAGGAGGATTTTGGGGGGTCACACTGCACGAAATAACGTGGAATCTCAAAAGCAGGCCACGCCAGTACAGACTACAGTCCTTTGAAATGGATGGGGATTTGGGGTTGAAGAAGGCTTCGGGTGGGGGCTTCCATGTCTGAGAAAGGAATTCTGCCAGGTTTTTAAGAAATGCAGATTTGTGTTCAGGAATTTGCCGCGCTCATGGAAATCGATATACACTGCCTGGACAATTGATCTCGCCTGCTACTAAGACTTCTGCGAGCCACCTCGAACACGTGCTTCTGGGAAGCAAGAAGCAACACGACAGGTTCGCAACTACATTCCAGTTTCTTGAGGTGTTGTGAATCTCTGAAGACACGCTGTGCATCCTGGTGCTATGCAGCTGTGCATTTAAGCTCTACTGAGATTATACTGTGAGTAGGGGCGGTCCAAGATCCTCATCGCCATCATGATCATCACCATCATCGTCCTCATCATCACCGTCACCACCATCATCCTCGTGAAGAGTCATCATCATCATCATCATCAGCATCATCATCATCATCGTCATCATCGTCATCATCTTCTTCATCATCATCTTCACACCATCAAGGCCGAACTCAATCGTCGCAATCATCATTGCCACCACGCGCAGAACTGTTGCGAAAGCACTGATGCAAATCAAGGTTCACGGATTTGAAGGGATTACGTATGTTGGCAACGCTAGTAATTAGCATGAACCATTTCATGCGTGTCTTCTGATTTAGTGTTAAAACCTGATCACTTAGATAGGTTTCAAGGGGTATCGTACACAACTCACGCCAGGCTGAATAAGGGGCCTATTCCCATTTCTTCACATGCCTACATCACTGATCGTATTTTGGAACTTATAATGGGACCCCCCAAGAAAGAGAAGCAGCCCACATTATAGGACCCCCTCAGAGGGGAGCCTCGACCCCTCACCCATCACTTACTGGTCCTCTGTAGGGAATACGTTCACGGAAAATAATCCCTATAGGTTTAGGGTTGAGAGGTATAGGGTTTAGGGTTATAGATTCCCTTATTTCCTACAAAGCCTAAACCCTAAAACCTACATGTGATGTCATATGATATGCTCCGTTATTCCTTACAAATCCCCAGTAAGACCAGACAAGAAGCTCTCTGGATGGATCGGCAGTTCATCCAAGGGCTCCGAGCCCGCGAAAACCCGCAGGAAGCCGGCTGCCATTTCGAAGGTGCGGGGCCCCACACCTAGGTTGTAGGAATAATCTTGTTAGCAGCAAGAAGATTACCTATCTTCAATATCATAAATACTTTCGTATCTTGAACAGTCTTGTTGTTTGTAGATTCGTCATTCTCATTAACAGGTTTAGGTTTGAGGGTTTTACCCTCCTCCAAACAAAGATGAAGGCCCGCATGGCCTCCTGTTGATTGGACTAGTTCGGCAGTAGTCCTTGGAAGGGCACTTGTTGGGCTCCCAGTCGGACGTAAGTGACGGGCAAAAGCATGTTCATTGAGTACTTGAGGCAGCGGAAAACGCAAGTTCTTCGTTCAAGACACTAAACAAGGATTCTTTCAACAATGGAAATGGCAGTTTTGCTGCTTTAAACATGTGGGAATTATCTTGGCAATAATTCTTCGCATGCTGGCTTGGTAAGGTATACAGGTTTGAGGCTTTGGGAAGGGTTTCTCGAGTACTTCCCATGTCCTCCAGAAAACTCTTATGCCACATCCAAGAAACTCGACCGGAAACACTTCACCTCTGTGACCCAACAAAACCCCCTGCCCACAAATGTTGACCCTGACCCTGCGGGTTGGAAAACCACCTGTAAACATGAGTAGAGAAGAACCCATGTACAGAAATCCACATTTTTGGGAAACCACCATACATGTCAGCGCTGCTCACCGCTATTCCTGTTCATGGGCCAAACCTTGCATGCCTAGACAGTCCTTGGACTCCGGCTTGTGACCATCAACAAAAAGGGCCCCCACGATTTCCCACGCATGCACTTGAGACCCAGGTGTTCAAAAAAGGTACAGAGGCACTTTGGATACTAGGAGTGGCGAAGCCTGTGTCAATGAAAGCCCAGGCACCACGTACGGACCGCAGCTCGTCGCGCGACTTGAACCTAGATGCAGACGAACCATACTGCAATCACTGTTTCCCCCGGTACAGCGATATCTGTAAAAAGTGCCTGAGCCCGTCCAAATCAACGCATTCATAGAACACTTCAGAGCGCTTGAAAATTCGGCCGGCCACCCACTATGAAACCCCACAGGCTTGCCCTATATAACCCCTATATAACATCTATATAATTAACCATATAATCGTTTCCAACGAAAATCTTTCTCAGCAAGGAAGTGAACTGGCCGATCTCACTCCGGTACTGGACGATGCTCCGCGCAAGGTTCGCTGAGAGGCCCGACACCTTTGGCACAGGGTGGGTCCCCAACCCTAAACCCTAAAGCCTAAGTCGTAGCCTGGAACCCTAAACCCTAAAGGGCTTAGGGTACTCTGAGCCCTACACCCGAAAGTGCGACAGGCTTCAGCGCTTGGGGTTTACGGCTGAGTGTTGAGGTTTCTGGGGATTACGCAAAATCACGTGGAGAGCAGCTATAGGTGTCCTAGTATTTGAGGCTGTGCGTGGAGCGTCATAGGTGTGAGACATGAACCATAACACTCAATCTACGTACAAACACTAAGGAAGCTCCAATACCTGGTATTTTTGCGAATGCACAGAATTCGCACTCTGTTGGGTTTGAAGGTTGATAACTTACCAGGAAAGCAGGAGAAAGTACATGCAGAACAACTCAGACACGTGTTCCAGAAGTGCTGGCGAGGCCGTGTTGAGATCAACGCCAACTGCGTTAACACAATCCATGGTTGCGCCTGGGCTGCTTTTGATGGGTTTTCCTCAGTTTTTGCAGTTCTCAGTTTTTGAAGTTCTCATAGATACCCCTAGAACATTGCAATCACTGATGCTATGCGGTCTGTAATTCATATCCATGGCTCCTCGCAGTTCTTCGTGCAAGCGCTTTTGGTCCACATCATGCTGGTAGAGACCCACCCCGATGCTCCTGTTAAAGGGTCGTGGACCTCCTGTCTTTGGGGGCCCTTTGGTCCAGCTTAATTTAGCTACGGGTTGCCAGTTCTCTGGGTGTTTATGTATAAGGTCTTGTTGGCTAGGGTTCTAATTTTTCTTGGTTATTGGCTAGAGCTTCATTTCTGGCGCATGAGGGTTTGGTTGCTGGCTCTTCCGCGACAAGATCTAGTAAGTTGTTGATGAATCAGTGCAGATACCTCATAGCGTAGGGGTACCTGCGAAACCTACAACAGCCCGGGATGTGTTGGGGGGCCGACCCTTCCCATTCTCTTTCACCGGCTGCTAAACCCCCTAAACCCCATACCCAACATCCTTTTGCCTTAGCCCCTATGCCGCAAAATCTGGGTTGCTGTTAAGGAACTAAAATTAAGTTACTATATTGGGGAAACCCTATTATTTACTATATATACCCATTAGGGTAACTTAATTTAAGTTCCTTAACAGCAACCCAGAAATCCTACACCCTTTCCTTCACTCATTGATCATACTGGGAAGCCTCGGATCCCCTAAACTGCCCCTCTTGTTCTCTTAGATGCCTTCTAAAATGGGCAAGGCATACGCCAACCGGGATCCCACAATAATGAGAAGAGCGGTAGCAGTTGTAATGCTAGTGGTCATAGGCGTGAAGTAGGGGAACTAGTATCTGTTGGTTTGAAGATAGTGGCTAGAAAGCAAGAACGACCACGCCCTAACTCATGCATGTTCATAATAACCGTTCAGAACAACAATAACACCAGGGCACCCCACATGGGACATACCCCGTAAGAAGGACTCCTTCACATGGGATTGTATGAAGGCACTCAGGGTTCCTAGAGGATCTCCCTCAATGACGCATACCGTATACCCAGAGCCTTAAACAAATCCCCAAGCCCAGAATCCCAAACCCAAAGCCGCAAACCCTAAACCCTAACCTAAACCCTTAGCCTTATAAGCCCAAAACCCTCAACCCTATACTCCCCCTTAAGTAGATAGAATATGGCTTTGGGTATATTATAACAAGATCCCCATATACCCCATATTCTATCTACCTGAGGGGGACTACAAACCCTAAATTACTAAACCCTAAACCCAATACACCCCCAACCCTAAACCCAATAAACCCCCAACCCTAAACCCTAAACTCAATAAACCCCCAACCCTAAACCCTAAACCCAATAAACCCCCAACCCTAAACCCTCAACCCTAAACCCAATAAACCCCCAACCCTAAACCCTAAACCCAATAAACCCCCCAACCCCTAGAGGACGGCAGGCTCCTCGGGTCAATCTTCACCAGCTCGGACAACGGATCCAAGAGGCGCCGAGCGATGGACACCGCCCCTGCTGTGGATGCGGGAAATCTGGCACCACGATAAGAATTAGGGATACCTCTAAAGGGGGTTTAAATTGGGTCCCCATTAACAGTCTATAAGAGGGGTCATATTAAGGGCTATATATAATCATATTATAGATATTATCCAACTGTCAATGAGTGGGGGCAGTACCCACGGTTTAAATAAGGTTTAAAGGTTTAGACACGCGCATCACACACTGCAAGCACGGCTACAGAGGTTTAAAGGTTTAGGGTATAGGGTTTAGGGTTTCCCAAGATTTGAATACCTTTTTGGGGTTCCCATGATAGGGATTTTAATCTATTGCGGTCTTCATTGGGGTCTCAGCATTCAGGGAAACTACCATATTCCAATACTTTGGACCCAGGGTACCTACATGGGGTCTTCTTGGGGCCCAAGTAGAGACTACGTGGCTTCGTAATGTCCACACGTCCGAAATTTCTTTGAATGTAAATATGGATCTTGTAGTCCAACATAGAGGACCCCATGATGTACAACAAACAACTTCCTTCAAATGGGGACCCCCAAAATTGTACCCCGAAGTTTGGGAAACTCGCATATGTGGGGGTGGTTTTAGGGGTGGATTGTAGGGGGATCTGAGGCGTAGGGTTACCAACGAATCTGAGGGGCACCTCTCTTTCGGCTCCCCACGCGGTTTAACAGGTTTACCTAAACGTAAAATAATAGCCCTAAACCCCTAATTATAACCATAGAGGCAATTATTTCACATACTTTTGGGGTTCGGGTAGGGTTGAAGCTAGATGCTGAGATTTTGGAAAGTCCCGAGGAGCTGACTTTCAGCAACCTGGAAGCAGGTACTTTACCGCATCCCATGGCCGTAGTAGCGCTACAGCAGCCCCTTTTTTCTCAGAAGGCGTTCCCTAACCTCAAGTAACTGCGTAACTGCAAGGTCTATCACAGTACATCAGTTCTGGGGGGGGCACTCTAACGCACACCTAATCCCAAACCCGAAGCCTTTAATCCCGAAACGCAAAATTCCTAAACCCTACCCTATCAACCCTATCAACCCTGAGCCTAGAGCCTAAACCCTAAACGGTTTAGGGTATAGGGTCTAGGGTTTAGGGTTTAGGGCTTAGGATTCCTGAGCCCTACGCACTAAACCCTGGTCAGGGCACCACGCATTGAGACGTCGAGATGTGGAAGCTCCCCCCCAGCCAGCCTGAATCCCAACTTCCCCCCCTTGGGTTTGGGCTTTGGGGTTTAGGGTATATGAGCTATAGTCTAAACTCCTTACAGGGGGTTATATAGGGGATAAAATGGCGGACTACTATAGGGGTTATTCAGTGATACTAAGAGTTTTTAGACTATAGCTCATATAGGGTTTAGGGTTTAGAAAGGGATGATGGGTACTCAAGTTAAAAGGGAAAAGAAAACGTAACATGACATTAAAGCTTAGGATTCAGGGGTTACTTCCTTCTGGTTAGCAGACTGAAGGCATGGAAAAGAAAATGGCAATGACTAAACTATTGGGATTTTTTCTAGAGACTACCATAGTATCCCATTCGCCATTCCTGCTAACTAGAGGTAACTAGGGTTCAGGAGTTGTCCAGTAGGTTTGGGATGCAGGGTTCAGGGCCGGGTTTAGGCTTTCTAGCGTCAGTTCCAGGTCTCTTTCTAGGCAGGCAGTCGGGTACGTACCATTTGTTGCTTAAAAAGGACGCCGAAGAGGAACCAAGTAGCTTCGAAGCACTGTAGATGGAGGCCCCAGACTCATCCACCACAGCATAGCCGACAGACTCATGCACCTGGACTTTCTCTCGACGTGAAGAACCTTTTGGCGCATAAGATAACAAGTGAATTTACAGTGTACTACGGCTCCTTCGCTCTCAAACACATTTTCTGGTACAAACTCAGTCCCTATGTTGGCACTCTAAACCCACCTCCTGCTGCTTTAGCTGCTGCCGCAGCCAGGCCTCTGTTTCCCTGCTGGCAGTACCTTGGCAGCTCAGCAACCGTTCTACAACAAGGGTACGCTGTCTCATTGGTCAATTTTATAGAGCTCAGAACCCAAAAAAGCTCAAAGGGCACCATTAGGCTTCCTGGGTACCATTGCCCAAGCTGCAGACGACCCTGCCTCAGCATGGGCGGGAGCATTGGCCATCATTGGGACTGATGTCATTACTGCACTGGTTAATGCCATTGTTACAACCGTTTTGCGCGCACTAGTTGTAGCAGGAGTGAGGGTCCATCTGACGGGGAAGCCTATTTGATGGGGCTCCTGTTCCTCAATCCGAGCCTGCAGCCAGGTGTCCATGAATAGGGGGCCTCACATATTTTGACCTCAATTTACTTCAGTCCTTACTCGAGCCCTGAATCATAAATTATAAGACCCTAAGACCCGCCTTCCAAGCGTCGCCTCTTCTGCGGTGGTTCGGCTTCCTCCAACTTGTCCTGGCATTCCCTGCCTGAGCCCCATGTGGGTTCAGGGCTACATGCGAGAATTTTTGGGCTGCCTGTGGGTTACCAGGTGACGAGTCCAGCTTTGGGATTCTACTTTTTTGAGCCGCAAGAGTCTACTGTATTGTTACCTTGAGAGGTATGTATGTCGTGTCGTAAATATTTTGCTTGCAAACAAGGCTCCTTGATTTACATCTTGCGGTGTCTGCATATGTGCAGTGAAGCTACGGGATTCCGACATACCCCAGGCCTTACCCATCTCAGAAAAAGTACGATGTGCGGAGGGCTACCATAATGAACACTTTGCAAGATGCAGGACAGCAGCCCCTGCATGTATGTCCCTGTTGTACCTTGCTAAAAAGATCCTCTACGCGTGGGCTGTTGCAAGCCTGTGCATCCCTAGAATCCTTCTGGGTGCCCAACTATCATTCAGATATGAGCCATTGTCTAAACTCCTAGTATCTCCCTTAATAACCCCTATAGTAGTCCCTTATATAATCCCCTATATAACCCCCTTTAAGGAGTTTAGACTATAGCTCATATATTCTGATTCTGATAGTGGCCATGTGGCTGGTACCCAGGCCTTGCGTGAGCAGCTCCTGGAAGCCGGTGTTGGCTGCCTCGGCCTGTGGTGTTGGCACAGCAGCTCCAGGGTAGGACCTACAGTCGATGAGGTTTAGGGTTTAGGGTTGAGGGTTTAGGGTTGAAGAGGATGTCCCGGCATGTGAGTTTGCCACTAAACCCTTCATCTACCCTCTGTACCCTAAAGAAGGACCATATACCCCTATTTACAGCAAGGAGGGTCCTGGTCTAGGGTAAATCAAAGCATTCCTTCAGGCCTTTCTTTACCCTAAACCCTAAACCCTTACATACAGGATGTGTAGGGACCAGATCAGGGTGCGAGGGCTTTAGGGCTTGGAGCGTGGGAATTGCTCCCCTGCTTTTGTGTGAGGAAGCGAGTACAAAGCATAGCTAAATTGTTGGTGGGCTGCTATGAGGTTCCCGAACAGCGGGGATGCTAGTTTTGATGTTGATGAAGTTCCGTATACACCGTAGGAAACTATGAGAGGCTCCCTTCTCAACCCTAAACCCTAAAATCCCAAACCTAAAGCCCCCAAACCTTAAAACCCGAAACCTTAAACCCTAAGTCTTAAACCCCCTAAACCCTAATTAAGCCAAGCCACGGATGTGGGAAGAGCGTCTTGGTTGCCAAGACTTGGCCGGTCAACGAAATGAGAGCACACTTGCAGCCAGTGCGGAAGGCAGGGTCGACGCCCAGAACCTGGACTGAACTCTGTTCTGACTGTTACGAGTAGTTATGAGTACTATCATGAGTCTTTGTATTATTGCCATGGTTAGTATCAGTTTCCTATCGTTCTTATTATCATTAGTAGTATTATCGAATAGTTCTTGTTTTAATTTCAGAAAAAAAAACGGACTTTTCTGACTGTCACTTTTGTTGTGATTACTACATTTGCTATGGCGGCTATTATTTATGTTGTAATTTTCTCTGTTGTACTTGGTACTATTGCTCTTTGCATGTTGTTGGCAGCTTTGTGCAAAGGGCCCCATGCTATGGAAAAAAACATATATGACTACAAGATTTCCTCCGCTTCCTCATCTTGAGATTGGGGGATGCTTGTAGCAGGCCAGGAGCAGCAGACACTGGAGGTCCCAGAGCATGGCCCCAATCTGGATGGAGCCTCAAAGGAGCTAACATCAACTTCTTTTTGAGGTTGCGCCGGTAGGTGTCAAAGGCCTCGTCCTCCGCTTGCTGCTTGAGGCGCCGCCGCCACTCACGTTCAAGAAAAGGCAGCAGCAGGCGCTTGTAGGCATCCTGCATGAGGGAATGTAACCCCTCAATGATATTCTCTAATTCCCTATAGCCATAAAACCTAAGCCATGTAAAGGTAATCCCAATATGATATATTCCTTTATTCCCTATTAACCCCCGGTATCCTCCAGTGCTAGGCGGATCTCTGCTCTGTGCGCTGCCCTTCCCGCAGGGCTTCCAGATTGCTTGGCTGCGGCCCTGACAGGTGTGGGGGTGGTTCCAACAGGGGGCCGTGCCACACGATCGCCCAGGAAGGTTGACATCAAGGCATCCAGCAGAGATGTGGAGTCTTCGGCCGAGATGGCGAAAGACAAGCTGAGACATTTCTTCTGCTCACCGCGCTGCACCGCAAGGAACTGATGCGGCTTCACTTGTCGCAGTGGAGCGCTGAAGTCCCAGTAGGTCTTGAACTGTTCCTCCGGGTCGGCATCGCCTCGCCGACGTGCTTGGACCCTAACCTTGCTTTCCAAGACAGTGCGCGCCAACTGCCTCACATCTCCACGGTTGGCAAACTGCTCCGCCAAGATGTCCCGCGCGGCTTTCAAGACCGCCTGCACATCTGGGACTTCTGCTGTAATGAACTGCGCGGCTATCTCCATGGGTGTCTTCTCCAGCGATACATCTCTGACCCCAGCTACAGAGTCTTCTGCGCCTTGGACAGCCCGAGCAGCCTCGCTGGTCTCCAGGGGAGGGGCCTCAACATGCGAAGGAGGGACCTGCTTGGCAGCCTCTTCCAAGAAAGCTGCCAAAGGCTCCAAGCCCAGGGACTTGGCAACCTGAGCCCGTGTCTGACGTTTGGCCTTAAACGGAGCCCACAAGCCATCGATGTCCTCGATGCTCTCTGCCTGAAGCAGACTTTCACTCAGATCCGGGGTCAGGTGCTTCCCCCGTTGTAGGGCCAGCGCCACCCGAGCGCGTTTCGTCTCCAAGTCCTTCACGCGATTCATCTCGCGCTCTACCCGGCGCAGGTCCTCTTCGTTCATGGAGCCCGTCTGCTCCTTCCGGTACCGCGCAATGAAAGGCAGCGTGCTACCTTCCGGGTTGCTGTTAAGGAACTTAGATTAAATGACTAAAGTATAGGCAACCCTATTATTACTTACTATATACCCATATCATGGTAGCTTAGGCCCCACACCCTTAACCCTATATATATATATATATCCATATTATGGCACCGTACTTAAAATTCTTAACAGCAACCCAGCCTTCCTGGAAGAGGCGGACTGCCCCAGCCACATGGCCTCTGTCTAGGCCGAGCTGGGATGCAATCCTGGGTTTAGGGTTTAGGGTTCTGTTAAGGAACTTAAGCTGAGGTACCATAATGGGCATACAGGGTATATAAGGCCTTTTTTGGGTATAAGGTTTAGGGTTTAGGGTTACTATAATGGGACTAAACCCTAAACCCTAAACCAGTAACAGTAACCCAGCATCCAGGAAGATTCATCCTTTCGGATCCGCGACTGGTCTCCCAACACCTGGGTCGCTGTTAAGGAAATTAAAAAAGGGTACCATAATAAAGGGTTTAGGGTTTAGGGTTTAGGGCTTAGGGTTTAGGGTTTAGGGTTTTGGGCCGAAGCTACCATAATATGTGTATATAGTAGATAGTAAGGCTTCCTAGTACTATTAGAACTTGATTTAAGTGGGTGGTTTCCAAAATTAGGATCCCATTTTGGTACCCTTAAATACTAGGCCCCGTAATCTTAATCCATATCCAAGATGGCCCATAAGTTTGAGAACAACCTAAGTTCCTTCCCTAAACCCTATACCCTAAAGCCTAAACCCTAAACCCAAGAGACCTTCTGGGCATCGGCCACATTCGGGGAGCCACTCTCCGAAGTGCTCCAGGCCTCACCAGGCTCCGCCACCACGCCCTTAGCCTTCTCCTTACTGGTTCTAAGTAGGGAATAAGGGAGAGTATTCCCGATACAGGGGGATATAGGAGTTCTATAAGGGGATCTAGGCTTTAGGGTTGGGATTAGGGTCTCCCAAAATTAGGGGTCCCTTATGGGCTTCGGGTTGCCTATTCATTATATTCCTCTCTTCCCTACGCAAAAAAAGCCAATAAGTCTCAGTCAAAGCATCACTGGCACCTTCTGGGAGCTTTGTGGCTTTAGCCTTGGGTTTCCTTTCCGTCTTGGCCTTGGCTTTGGCCTTGGCCTTGGCTTTGGCCTTGGCCTTTGCAGGACAAGCCTTTGCCTTGGGCCGGCCCTTCCTGGGTTGTTCTTAAGGACTCTAAATTAAGTTACCACAAAATGGGTTTCTAGTAAATAGGGTTTATAATAAATAATAGGGTTTCCTATACTATAATAACTTTTTTAAGTTACTTAACAGCCACCCAGCTTCGGTTTGGTTGCGGGCTTCGCCTTGGCCTTGGGCTTGCGCACCTTTGGTGCTGAGACCTCGTCTTCCGCATCTTCGACTGCAACAGCCTCCACCTTCGGAGCAGATGCACGCTAGGAATGGTTTACGAACAAAAGAACTTGACGGGGTCTACTGAAGATTCAAGTGGCTGTCTACCTGGTACAAGTGCAAGCTAGTACTGAATAAGACCAATGCAGACAAGAATGCATCTAGACCCTCAAATTTAAAATCTAGGGTTCTGGGCTTAGGGATCCAAATAAAACTCCAAAAAAAATCCCAGTAGGGAACCTACGTGTATACTGTACTGGAGGGGTGCAGGTAGTTCCTGTTGAGGAAATGGCTGACCCATATTACAAGGATCCCCAAGAATGGTAACAGAAATTACTACTAATAGTACTAAATACTAATAGTGGTACTAATAGTATTAATCATAGTAGTAATAAATTTGGAAGATGACCAAAGAAGAAGCTATGGAAGTCGTGGCATGCGTTCTTCGCGCCTCCTTGGCTTTGCGGGCTACTTTCGACTTCGTTAGCCCGGTGTTGGCAGCAGGGGCGATGCGCTTGCCTCGACTGCCTACTGCTGGGCCAATAAGGGAGACTAATAAAAGTAGAAAAAGAACCCGTGGCAGTAGCAGTTTTAAAAAATGTGTCAGCAGCAGTAGTAGAGACGAACAGTTTCAGCAGCACATGTGGTTCAGTTGGAGTCATCGTGGCCCTGAAAAAAAAAAAAAAAAAAACGTCAGCAGTAACTTACAATCAAGCTGACCCCCCTTTCCTCGCTCGCCAACAACTGCCAGTAGAGTGAGGGTTATCTTACGCAAAAGTCTTCATACCAGCCACCGGGCTATCAGCGCCAAAATCCTTGATGCGGGCACCGTCCAAAAAGACATCCACGAGAAACTTACCAAACGACCTCGCGAGACTGGCAAGAAGAGACAAGGTGCTCTTTGCAGCTGCTTTGGGCGCTCTTCTCAAGCTTAATCGCATCTTCAAGCTGCCGTGTGGTGCCTCATCTGCCATCTCAGGATCAGGTCTGAGGACTTCATGTTAAACTGCACCCAGGATTTTAGGTTTTAGGGTTTTGTGCTATTGTTTGAGGACTTCAGGTTATACTGCACCCAGTGGTTTAGGTATAAGGGTGTTGTGTCATTGTTTGAGGGCTTCATGGTAAACGTAAGGGGCTGGGGACTTGATGCCGCTCCGCAATAATGGGGAACGGTTTTTTGATGTGCGCAGTCCCTTAGTGAGCTACAGTCTAAACTCCTAGTATCCCCCTTAATGGCCCCTATAGTAGTCCCCTCTGTAATCCCTGATATAACCCCTTTTGGAGTTTAGATTCTGGCTCAGATAGAACTTTAGAAATGTGAGAATGCCAGCAAGGATGCATTCTCAGCCTTGACTAAGCTACGCAGCTGCCAGGTCACCATTGTAAATGGCATGGAGACGCAACCTCCCCCCACCCCCCCCTAATATTAAATATTCCATTGTAGTATATTATCGCAAAGCGGATACATATGTATACACATACATACAAACACACCGATATATGTATATATATATATACATATATCTATCAGGGATGGGGGGTCTACTATAAGGGGGAGAGGATTAATGACAAACACGCAGATGAGGGAAGGGAGCAGAGCCTGGAGAGCTATGTGCTCTGTTGGCATCAGGGCTTCACTGTCTCTGACAGGAGTGACTCCCATGACGACATCCTTGCAACATGCTAGGTGTTTCTCAGAGTGAGGCCCTTCAAACAAAGGAAGTATATGACGGAGTTGGGAAGGAGATTGAAGGGTTTTCGGGGTGATGCCGGGATCGCTTGTAAATACCTGCTGAGACGCTACCATAGCGGTTCCATCAGCACAGGCTGCCATTGTAGGCGCAGGTGCCGCGTCCATGCAAAGCGCGGCACGATTAATCGCAGAACTCCCTGCAACAACACTTGCAGGTACCCTGCCGGACAGTCTTTCCTACCCAGATTCGGACACTTTTCCAGCTGGTTGGTACGTGGAGGGGTTACAGCATTTAACGTTGAACTCAGAGGCACTCCTTCTGACACACGACAGGCTGTGAAGTCTTGTAGGCACTCTCAAACTACCCCCTCAAGACTAGTGTTGCGCGAGTTGGATATCAGAGTCAGACACCTCCTGCTGTATTTTGGTAGCAAGAATCCTTCAGTAGTAGTAAGAATGATCACGATAATAATAGTAATAGTAGCAATAATAGTAATAGTAGCAATAATAACAAACAGTAAGCGTAAGAATATAGCAGTAGTATCCAGGCAGTCTGAGCTTCAAGCACACGCAAGAGTTCAATGGCATCCACATCTGCATATGGGGGTTTCCCAAAATTGGGGGTACCATTTTGGAGGTCCCCGGGTCCCCATAATAAGGATTATAGTATTTTGGGGGTCTGTATTGGGGTCCGCCTACTTTGGGAAGCTGCTATATCACTCCGACTCGGCTACCCCCTGAAGCGCGTGACTTCCCTTTATCTATAAGGTATCTGCGCCGCGGCATGCTTTGAAAAGAGTTATTGCTCAGCAGCTCAGTAATATCTTGATAAGAAATAGTATTGTTTAGTAGGGCTGGACTGGAGCGTTGATCCCTAACTTTTTCCCCGCTCCATCCGTGATCTGGCTCGGCATGCATGAAACATGCAAGATACTGGTCTCCTTTCTTGCTTGCTTCATATAGTACCCCAGAATACAGTATGCGGCAATGGTTAGCAGCCTCAGGCCAGAGACAGAGTTTATACCTGCCACTATCCAGGAATAATGGCTCGCATCATCCGGGCTATGAAAATGAACTGACTATTGGGGTCGTACAATTACGCACCAAGCGCTTACAGAGACCATCATGCAGCAAAGCGCGGTGACTGCATACAGGACTGCTTTGCAGAGTCGCGCGCTTCCATGACAAATGCCACCCGCCTTGTCCGGTGGCCTCACCCTTGTTTGACTCCGTTTGGCTACGATCAATACTCGCGAAGCATCAGCTGCTGCATACTAGAACTCCATAAACATTCTACGTCTACGCGAGGTGCTTTCTGTCCGGAGTGTTGACCGTTGCCAGTTACTCATTCATGGTCAACACTTTTCCCCAATCTTGAAGGCCTTCCTCCTGCTTCCATTGGAGGAGAAGCCCCACGTTGAGGGAAGAAATTAAACTCTAACCTTACTGGGGCTTAGTTGGGAATAAGGGAATATACGATCCCTATCAAGCCTCAACAGCGAACCCTGATGCATTCCCGTCTCTTATTCCCAACTAGCCCCCAACAAGCCAACAGGCTCAGGCGAGTTCGTGCAGTGATGTCCGGAGGCTACCACACCTGATGCTTTCCGTGTCTGGGTCCTACAAGGAAATCAAAAGGTTTCGGGTTTAGGGTTTACAGCTTTCAAAAAAAATCCGCATGTAAATCCCAAAAGATTTAAACTCCTCACCATGGGCCCCGAAAAGGGGCCTTGAATCATTGAAAACCTTCGCTAGGCCCGTTTTTTCGAGGCACTCAACTCTGGCCTCCGCAGACCTAAATGGAGGTTTCCGAAAATTATGGGTACCTTTTTGGGGGTCCCCATAATAAGGACTATAGTATATTGGGGTCTATATTGGGGTCCCCTTATTTTGGGAAATTGCCAAATCCTTTTGAAGTAGGCTTGTGCTTGGACGCCTGCTCCCTACCGTAAGCCCTTAACCCTAAACTCCCACCTCCACGCTCGCGCTGCGGCGTTGCAACCTCCTTGAGCTGCGTCACCATCGGAGTCTCAGTGGGGATCGCCAAGATCTTCCGCTTCTTCTGAGCCTTCCTCGGTTTAGGGCTTGGCGGTTGGGTGCGGAGCACTTTGACAGGTCTCAGCAGGCGTGCTTATCCCGATGCTCTTTTCATGCTGCAGCACGGAGTATGCCAACCAGAAAAAAAGGGTGTAAAGAGCTTTGGGCCCTCTAGATGGGC